CCTCTCTCTCTGCCCCTCCCCCGTTCATGCTCTGTCACTCTCTGTCCCACCCAAAAATAAATAAACGTTGAAAAAAAAAATTAAAAAAAAAAAAAAAGAATAGCTAATTAAAAATCCCATGGCAATTAAAAACCGTGTTTAGGGGCGCCTGGGTGGCTCAGTCGGTTGAGCGTCCGACTTCGCTCAGGTCACGATCTCACGGTCCGTGAGTTCGAGCCCCGCGTCGGGCTCTGTGCTGACAGCTCAGAGCCTGGAGCCTGCTTCAGATTCTGTGTCTCCCTCTCTCTCTGGCCCTCCCCCCGTTCATGCTCTGTCTCTCTCTGTCTCAAAAATAAATAAATGTTTAAAAAAAAAAAATTAAAAAAAAAAAACCGTGTTTAATGATAAATATTTTAGCAAATATTAAATATTATTACTGACAGTTTATTCAGGTACTTATAAAGATTCTAAAGGTATATTTGAATTCAGTATTCCAATTTAAATATCACATGCAATTCAGCTAAAAACAATCAAATAATATAATCTATACATACGGTAAATACTCTGTAAAAATGTTTACCTATGAAACAGAAGTGTGAAACTAACAGAGAAGGGTCACTATATCTATTGAAAACTGAATGCAAAGAGAAAGCTTCTATCACGGGAAATGTGAAGCTCCACAGTGAGGATTATCTATACAAATTAACAGTTGAATTTTAGTCGGTATTTTAAAAAACGTGATCCAAGATACCACTAACCTGTCTTGAAGAAATCAAAATTTAGGAAGAAATGGAAGATACAATTCACATAAATGGAAAAAGCAGTTCTGAGAATCCATCATTGCCAAATACTATTCCATCCATCCCCAAGTGTCTGGGAGAAATAATACCTTCATTATCTTAGACTACAGCACCGAAGCCTAGTGCTTCTTTTGAATGTATTCTCAATCACCAATAAAGTATGAAAGTCAATGTAGAACAGAACTTTCCAACTTTTTCCTTAGGCATACTTAGAAAAATAACATTTGTTTTTTGTTGTTGTTGTTTTTTAATCTTTATTTTTGGAGAGGGAGAGAGAGAGAGAGAGAGAGAGCGAGAGCGAGAGAGAGAGAGAGAGAGAGAGAGAGAGAGAGATACAGGGTATGAGGAGGAGCAGAGAGAGGGAGACACAGAATCTGAAGCAGGCTCCAGGCTCTGAGCTGTCAGCACGGAGCCCGACGCGGGGCCCGAATTCACAAACCGCAAGATCATGACCTGAGCCAAAGTCAGCGGCTTAACCGACAGAGACACCCAGGCGCCCTGAAAAATAACATTTGTAAGGCAACAAGGGAAGATGAGGAGCTGCTGGTGGTGAAGAAGCAAGCAGCCTGGAAGCTCCTGCCACTTTTACCTAGTCATGCACAGCACACAGGTGGAGAAGCTTAATTCAGGGTATCAAAGGGTAGCCTGAGAAATTCTACCTTTGTAAGCATTATAAACACAGGCAAGTTATAGGTAAGCATTATAGGAAATAATTTAAGTCAGAGTAAAACAAATACCATATGATTTCACTCATATGTGGAACTTAAACAAAACAGATGAACACAGGGGAAGGGAAAAACAAAAAGAGAAGGAAGCAAACCATAAGAGACTCTTAATTATAGAGAACAAGCTGAGGGATGATGGAGGGAGGTGGGCAGAGGATAGGCTAAATTGGTGATGGGTATTAAGGAAGGCACTTCTGTTGAGCACTGGGTACTATATGTAAGTGATGAATCACAAAATTCTACTCCTGAAACCAGTATTACACTATACTGTAAACTTAAAAAAAATAGGAAATAATTTCTGATCTCTCTGAATGAAATGAATGAACCAATGAAGTGGTACTGACCTAAATACACAAAATATTTCCTTCCTGAAAAAATCCCAATCAGCCTACTCTTTATTTGTGCTCCCTTTTTCTTGTGTAGGAAAAAAAAAAAGTGAAATATAACTCTTTGAGAAGTACAAGAAGACATTTTTAGTACAAGTCATTGTAAATCAAAGCCTGGAAAAAATCTCCTACGGGAGTACTTTTACGCTTGAGACAAGCTATCTTCTTCACTATTGTTACCAGTATTCTGACCTACTAAAATTCATCCAAAGTAGAAGATGCTAAGATGTGAACCATATAAAAAATGGGTACAGAACAGTTTTTACCAAATATCTTTTATATGATTAACTGTTGCATAAAGACAACAGTAACATGTAGTTTACTTACCAAGAAGGATTTAAAAAAGAACTATTAACTTGGGAAGAATTTTGCAAACTTACAGACTCAACAGTCATAAGGTACTACTTCTTTAGAGCATGAAACTAGAACCCAGAAAAATGCATTAAAATAAAACCAATCAATAAAAGTATCTACAGATATGGACATTAATGATCCCCAAATGCAGTGATAATGAAAAAATACATAGCTTCAGAAGGATCTTGGTCAGATGTGTACTACCCAGGAGAGGGGGCCAAATAATCTACTTACTTCAATTCTCTGTCCCATTTGTCTTGAGATTCCAAAAGATTTTGCTATTTTCAACGTATAACCATGCATTATTGCCTCTGTTTTTGATCATACAAGTCCCATAACCTAAAACTCTTTACTATAGCTAATCCCAAAGGACAAATGGCAACCCTCCAACTGAAAAGTAATTTTTCTTTCGTGTCTACATAGAGGTATATTTATCATCCCTGTCTCACAAATAACAAGTTTCCTCTAGGTGAAATGATTAGGTAAAACAACAGATGTTCTGAATCCTAGGTTAGTGCTGCTATCAGAAAAACCTATTTTCTTGTTAGTCCATTAAGATTCTATACCCTAGGACTCAGGCACTCAAATTAAGTCCTAACATAAGGAAATAAGTTTGTGTTCTTTCTGAATCCCAGTTTTATTCTCACTAGCTTTCTGTCAAAGCAACACTCTCAGCAACCACCTAATCCATTAATCTGAGCGATCTCTGACCAGCTTCACTCCTAGTTACGTAGATCTGGTCTCGTATTTAATTATCGTAAACTGTCCATCTTCATTAATGTAACTAATATTCTGTTTCACTCTGAGATATCTTTTCTCTATCTTACATCTAGGTCATCTTTTCCTTGTTTCATGCTTTTTCTAGCAAACTTTTTTCTCCAATTTTTTCTCCACCTTTGACTTGTCTTCTCTTTTTCTATCTTTACTATTAAAACATGTCTTAAATCTTCACTACCTCACTCAGTTCCTAAAATCTACAACTTCTCTTCCAACAACATCCCTCAGTTATCATTAGCTCAGACAAGAAGCATAAACTCCAGGACAGGTCACCAAAGCCTCTTTCATAGAAGTTTACAAGGCTTATTTTAAATACGCATTAGTATATGCCATCTACCATCTTATCCAAAGTAAAAACAAACCACTTTTAAATATTTAAACTTTTAGAGAGGACATGTTAAATTTACTATATACACTGATGACTTCAACTGGGGTTTCCTACAATCCTTAAACCACATTCCGGTTAATTGAGATACACAGTCAGGAATGTGAATCATAAACTCAAAAAACTAGAGTTGGAAGGCTTTCAAGAAGATTTAGGGTAACTCACCATTTAACTGAGGCAGAAACTGGGGCACAGACAAGTTAGGCAACTCTCTAAATTACTAAAATATTTTAGTAGTAAAAAATATCCAGAAACCAAAATTAAAAGTAGATTTATTCAAAACGTTCATGTATGAAAGAATTATTTGGAACTTAAAACACATTCTCAAGAGAGATAACATTATTGATGCTAAATGGGCTCACAAAACAGTCCACAATTACATATTTAAAGGGAACTCAAGTTATTTTCAAGAGTCTTGGAAATTTTTGGCATTTTATTCTCATTTTGCTTCTAAGTATATGCTTTCCTTTTGCTTGATACAGAAATGACATTAACATTACTCAGCTTCTCAGATACAACTGCAGTTGTTTTCTGGCTCACAAACGAACAAAGGAGAAAGAGCTTTCCACACCAATTAAAAGAGAATAAATATCTAACATTATCAAAGTTGAGATTCAAATTTTAAAATACACAGATGTAAGAAAACATTCATCTGCGCGGAAGATGTAGTATTAAAATCAAGGCTGGCAACCAGGTAGTCTTATGTGCCTAGGGTAACTAGATTAATAGAGAATGAAGAGAAAGAACCTGAGAAAAGAGTCCAGAGTAGGAGCCAGTAAAATATTCTGTAAGGGTCGAGATACTTATGCTCTCTGCTGCAACTGTTCAATTTTGTCATTGTAATATGAAAGCAGTCATAGACAAATGTAAATGAATGAGCTAGGCTATGTTCCAATAAAACTTCACTTTCGGATACTTAAATTTGAATTTTATATAATTATCATGTGTCACAAAATGATTACTCTTCTTCAATTTTTTTTCAGTCATTAAAAATGTAAAAACCAGGGGCACCCGGGTGGCTCAGTCAGTTAAGCATTCAACTCTTGACTTTGACTCATGGTTTTTTGAGTATGGGCCCTGTATCAGGCTCTGCACTGACAGTGTGGAGCCTGCTTGCGATTCTCTCGCCCCCTTTCTCTGCCCCTCCCCTGCTTGCTCTCTATCTCTCACTCAAAATAAACAAAAATAAACTTTAAAAAAATGTTAAAACCATTTTGAACTCATGGGCCATACAAATACATAGCAGGCCTGGATATTCCCTGTGCATTTTAGTTTGTCAACCACCAGTCTATGGAAGAAAGAGTGGGAAAGAAGGAAAGGCAGTGTGTACTTAGTTTAATAACTGTGTGGACTATTCATGAAAACTTTTGCATTAAATCTAATTAAAAATTGCAGCTCCCTTCTAACATATGTATATTAATGAGTCCCAGTTGGCATATTTCACTATCTTTAACATTTAAAGAACTTAGAAACATAATCACTGATGCAGGACAAAAATAATTCTCATAAATAATGTTACACTCAGCAAAACTTTAAGTAGATAATTCAATCTATAGAACCTTAAAATTATATCAACAGATACATTATTCATTACCATTTTGTCCCTGAGTCGCTCTCCACGGATAAAAAAGTCAGCGCAGCCATCCTCTTCCTGGTGAGGGACTTTGAAGACAGTGACGCAGCTTAGTCCACTCCCTCCAAGTGGTAACCATCCACCACTTGAGTCATCCCGGGTCATCACCACAGCTCGCACTCGTGCATAACTATTACTAAAACAGATGCAAAGATTTGAAATTAGGTTTTCCATAAACAAGAAAAAGCCAAGCTGTCAGTCTTATTTGAGAAACCAAAGACCACATTAGTTAATGCGTGGTAACTAATATGTTTCCTACTTCCATGATAGTCCACAAGGTAATCTATTTGAAAGAGGTAAAAAACCCACAAACTAATTTAAAAGGTTAACCTTTATTTTGAAGCCCAATGTTACAATAAAAGACTACAGATCTCTTATTTCAATTCATCATTGGAGTACCTCCAGCACCTCTATCTGATGGTCACGGAACAAGTTATAAAGGACCCCAAACACAAATATTGTCAAACTACACAGGCCACCATCAAACTTGTCTATTTTCCACCTGCTGCAAAAAACAACCAGGACAAATTACTGCTATATTTTAGTACATAAAATGTGACATCTCTAAGTATCTAACATTTCTAGATTATTAGTTCTTCTAACTAGGAATCTACACCAGACAAATCATATAAAGACAAATGTTCTGTTTCAGCAACTAATCAAGCAAAGTCATGCCCAAAAACTTTTCATGCCCTCTTTTTAGCAGACTCTACTCTAAAGAGACCACACTCTAGTTCTAGCCAGAATCATTTCCCAGTATTAACCACAACTGTTCTTTACATAAAACCTAAGAAATATGTTTCATATACTAATATTCTAGTCTACTGACATCTAAGCATTTTAGTTCCAAACTTTTAATACAATAATTAGTAGTGAAACCCTTTCTAAAAGTAGTACACCCTGATGACTTCCTGGAAAACTGTATTAAGGGTGCCTGGGTGGTTCAGTTGGTTTAGCAACTGATTCTTGATTCTGGCTCAGGTCATGACCTCACAGTTGTGAGACTGAGCTCTTCATTGGGCTCTGCAATAAGCGTGGAACCTGCTTGATATTCTCTCTCTCCCTCTCATACTCTCTCAAAATAAATAAACTTAAAAAATTTTTATTAATAGAACTTAAATGTGTGTTGGTTATTATGCATCTCAGTTGAGGCTCTATGTGACAGTTCTGTGCTGCTTCATGTCTTTGCATGTTCTAAGTGTTATGTTGCCAGGTGTCATTTCTGCTGTCCTAGTTATTGGCTGAAATCTCCCCCTAGCTTTTGTTTAACTTTGCAGATTTATTTTGTTGAGATATACTATAACATACAGATCTTAAATATAAGATCTGTATCTTATATTTGTAAGATTAAATATAAGATCTTCTATATTAAATATAAGATCTTCAACAATTTCTGACAAATGTACACATCTACATTTAACCAAGACAATAATCAAGATATAGAACACTGTCATAACTCCAGAAAATTCCCTGAAGTCTCCTAACCACTAAATAAGCAGAACCACTGTTCTAGTTCTAAAAAATACATTACTTTTGCCTGTTATCGGCCTTCAAATGCATGTAATCAAACAGAATCCCCATTTGTACCCTTTTTGTCTGACTTAATTTGACTCATGTTATTGTATTAGCAGTTCATTTTTACTGCTACACAGGCCTCTCACTGAACGAACAGATCACAATTCATTCATACTTTCTTGTATTGATGGACACTTGGATTGTTCCTAGCTGTTGGCTATTATGAATAAAGCTGTTATACAACTATTCTTGTACAAGTCTTTTTGTAGACATAGGCTTTCATTTCTATTATGGAATGGAACCGATGGATCACAGGACAGTACGTTTAACTAAAGAAGAAGCTAATAAACTTTTCCAAGGTGGTGTTACCATTATACATTCCCATGAGTAACGTACTATGATTTCAGTTGCTCCACATCCTTGCTAACATTTGGTGTTTTCACGCTTTTAAATTATACTCATTGTAGTGAGTTTGCAGTGGTAACCCACTGTGGTTTTAATATCAATTTCCCTGATGATTCGCTGTATTGAACAACTTTTCATATGGCTATTGGCCATTTATACGTCACCCACTTTTTACATCCTTGGTTATTTTTTATTATGGTGTTTTTTATTATTGATTTTTAGAAGTTTTTATATGTTCTTGACACAAGTCTTGTGTCAGAAAACTCTAACTTTTAAAGCTTCACTGTGTTGTGGTTGAGTGAGGAGTCTAAAGTCAAACTGTCACAAGCTGGATCCTGGCTCAGCAACTTACTAGCTGTGTGTCCTTAAGACAGTTACTATATTCATCTTTAATAAATGTAAATAGTGCCTAATACATAAGGAACGATATATAAGTACTAACTATTATTACTAAAACAAAGAATTTAAAATTGTAGCAGTCATCCTGGTACTTGAGAGCCAGGAAGGACCTGAGAAAAAATAAAATTTACAGAGACAACCATAATTCTCTACTATTGGGAGTCAAACTAATTCTTTAAGGGAAGCGCTACAAGTCTTTACCTTTATAAGCAACTGTTCTAAACTTTTTATTATTCAGTTATTGAGAGGCTCTGTTCTTGTCTGGGTCCCATGCTTCCGAATCTTCAACTCAGAGAACTAGTCAAAGGACGTATGAGGGCATAAAGTTTGGTCTAACAGAGGGTAGCAAATTGAAATTCTCCTCTTTGGATGGGCTAGAACAAGTGCCTCTACTATAAATAATCATGACATGGATACCAAGAAGCCAGGGAAGCTTGTTACACGGAGAACCAGCTTGGAGGGCTAGAATCAATACTAGACAAAGGTCATCTGGTCTGTCAAGAATTTATCCTAAGGATATCTCAGAAGCACAGCACATAATTTAGACATATTAGGTTCAGATTAAATGTCTCTGAACGGAACTCATCATTTAAAGGTCAACATGTTTGAAGTTCAGTGAAGTCATAAAGGTAGAACTTGGGTCAAAACCCAAATTCAAATTCCCAAGAAGCATTTAAGTATTTATTTTACTACAGGATCCTGACTCTTCCTTCTTATGTAATTATGTAGCAAACTGAGAAGTTAAAGAATTTTACCCTAGGTTCCACAAGACTTAGAAAACCCAAGTTGTGAGACAACCCCTTCTGAAGCTCAGGGTATACTTTGACTTTAGAGTATGCAAGTAGTTATCCTCTTTAGGGCATAAACTCTTATTTTTTCATCTTTGAATCTTACATTTACAATTTCTATAATGCTTCTCAGATATATGTATAATGCTTCTCAGACAGATTTTATACGTTAAAAATATAAAAATGTGTGTAAAAAAGATTATTAGAAAATATAAAAACCCTAAGTAGTTATTTTAGGATGGTGAAGTTAGGTATTTTTCCTTCATTTCTGTTTCTTCAAAAATTATTTTATAATTACTATTTATAAATTAAAAGTAACATAATATAGAACTTACATTTTAAGTATATCTTGGCTTTACTGAAGATGCTGTAAAATTTTAGAATGTTCTCTTTAATGATATATGAATACATTTTTTTAAAAAAATAAGTATCCCAGGGCGCCTGGGTGGGTCAGTCAAATAAGCATCCAACTCTTGAGTTCAGTTCAGATCCATGATCTCAGGGTCACGGGGCACTCAACAGGGAGGCTGCTTAAGATTTTCTCTCTCCCCACCCTCACTCCTCCCCCTCTTTTTCTCTAAAATGTAAATAAATAAATAAATAAATAAATAGCCCTAACATAATTTCCTTTGGCACCCCAATTACCTTTTTTTTTCTACTTTATAAAGTCCCACCTAGAAGGGATGTGTTGTCCTTCCTAGGAAAATCAGATAAAATAAAGATCTCTTCAGTCGAAGAATAAGGTTGCCTTATATACACTTTTTTAAATTTCATGTTTTCAACTATACCAAATATGTCACTGTTTCCCTTATCTATTCAAGCTGATCTTTCAAGCTTTAAAGTATTCCAGAAACTTATATCAATAAATCTGTACTCCCCATACCACAGTCTTCATCAGTTTATAATTTAACAATTCAGCTTCCAACTTCAAGACCTAAGACTAGAATACTTACCATACACTTTTTCAAGTTGTTCAATAAATGTGTGGGGTGGTTATGTGGGGGGTTTTTTTGGGGGGGTGGGGGGAGGGTGTTTTTCTTTTTTTAGACCTTCCTGCCAAGGTTAATCTTTTCACATGTGCTTTTAATTCTCATAGTCTCTTTGCCTTCAAATGTCTTCATTACCTAAATAAAAGTAGCAACTCTTTTGTCTAAAATATGCATCTACACCTAAAGACTAATGGCAGCTCTTACAAACTATCATATCTGCTGTGTAGCACAATAAAATTTGTACTTGTCACCTCCTCCTTAGATAAAAATGGCCTTAGAGCAAGGAACCAAATTGTATTATTCCATTTGAAACAGTAATAAACATTTTCCCCTGATTATGTAAACAATAGAAGCCCATTCTAGTAAATGTGGAAAATAAAGAAAAATCGTATTTGCCATCACGGAGTTAAAATGTAAGAACTTGTTGGTTACTCTCTGTGTGTACCGTATTTGTAATCTGTTAGTCTATCAGTTTGAGACAACAGCCATTTACAATGACAATTTATTCTTACTGGTAAGAATGCAGCAATTTCAGTCTTGAGCTTCTTTAATACTTAGTTGAAAGGCCCTTGTGACTGATCTAAAAAAGTCAAATCTGACAATAATTAGTTCTTTAATTTTTTAAAATACTTCAAACTAAAGCTCTATTCTTCCTTTTGGTAGTGGACTACATAATAACCACCTTTCAGCCTAGCTTTCACTCTAATGAAGTGAAGAGGCTCTTATTGTAAAACATTGCTGGGTTTCCTTTATTTTATTCAATATCTAAATTGTATCTCAATTGCTAATCTCTGATCTCATCTGAACTGTATCAAATATATCCTTTCAGCCATAGTCAGTGAATTAAACAACTAATGTACAAGTCCAGGTGAGAAGTAATGTTGGATTGGCCTTGGGTGATAATAATGAACACAAGAAGAATGGACTGAATTGGGTCTATTTTGGAGAAAGCCAGGAGGATTTATTGATGTGGTTAGGTAAGTGCTCTAAATTATCTAAAATTCTTAGTCACCATGACCTTTATTTTCTAGAATTTTCAA